TACTTTCTTCCTTGAGGAAAACAGAATCTCATAATGTTCACAAATAGCGCTTGGGCTAGTAGAACATTTGAGTTTTTAAAAAAAAAAAAAAAAAAAAAAATTAAATACCACTGTCTTTGCCCACGTCCTTCTTTGTGCTGATTTCCCTTGACTTCTGCTTTCCCAGGCTGCTGTTTTCTATAATGTTAAAAGAACTGTATTTTTCACATCAAGTGGACACTGACACCACTAGCTCTGAGTATTGCTGTAGTCACAAGTACTTATAGCTTTGATGGAGTGTTTGTAACTCTTAACTGTTACAAATCCTAAAGAAAAATGAAGGTCCAGACACTAGAACAACTTTTGTTTAACAGTTTGAAACGGGGATTTTAGTGAGTGGATTATTTGGTTACCATGCAAGCTTTACAGTTGAGTACTTTTTCCAGAATTACCGTTTCTTGAAGTGTTGCCATTTATGGTAGGTGAGGGGAAAAAACTATCTTATTTTTTCTGTTTTGCAGGACTAAGGTAACTACTTGAGGGCAAAAAAGAAGTCAAATGAAAAAGGATGTTAATGCTTTGGAAAATACACTTCACTTAGAACTATAGCTGACTTTACATAAAATTGTATTTATTTTTAGATAAATTTGCTAGTTGGGGAAGCAAGAACAGCATCGCATATGACAACAAAAGAGGAATTAAACCAAAGATAGGTGTGTGTGGCTGAACTCACTTAGCAGTAGCAAGCCAAATCAGCAGAATCGCAGGGTATAGAATAGGATGTGCTTGAAACTGTGCCAATCTAGTAAATCATTAAACTTGGGGGTGTTTTATGTCATCTGGGACTGGCTTTGGCAGCTTTAACTCTTTTAAAGTTTAATGACATGGTGTCCTCAAAACATGATACAGTTTCTTGACACTAACGCATCTGGGTGACAGAGAGCAAGGGTATCTAGTTGTTTGCTAAGGTGAGTGGTGTCATCACAGTATCTCCCTAATTCTAAATAATACATAGCCTGAAGTACCAATTACTATAGCTAGTTTTTGCCAGTCTGAATTTGTTGTGACTTCTACCAAAACTATGGCTCTAAGTGACAGATTTTTATAGTAACTTAATAAAAGAGGAAATAGAGGAAGACTGCCAAGGCAGGAGTTTGAAAATAGTCTCTTGCTTGGCCCACAGAAATGTTGGGGGGAAATCTAATTGCCTGGATCAAGGTAGAGTTCTTTCTTTTGATTGTAACAAATAACAAAGACCTGAATGGAAGATTACTTGTTGATCAAATTAAAGTCCTAGCATTTATGCAAACAAACTACTACTGGGAAGTGGGACAAGGCCTTTAGACTCCCCTGTGTCTATTTACTAGCAGCCTAAGCAGCAGAAGGGGAAAAACCACTTGGTTTTGCAGGGTTGGGGTTTTTTTGGGTTTTTTGAAAATGTGTGTTAAAATGAAATTTGATCATGCCACAAGTCTTAACGTACTTGGGTCTTTTCAACATGAAGATAGCTGTCTTTGTGAAGTCTGTGCTTATAGAACATGTCGGTATTCACAGGCCACTTTTTTTGTTTTGTTTAAAATCTTCCTAGGGCTGAGAAGGAGCCTCAGTTTAAGTTTATTTATTTCAATCATATGAACCTGGCAGAGAAAAGCACCATTCACATGAGGAAAACACCCAGTGTATCACTTGCATCTGTTCACCCTGACCTCATGAAGATTCTTGGTGACATCAACAGTGACTTCTCCAGGTAATGCTTAACTATTAAATAGTCTTAACTCCTTCTATCAAGTAGCTTTTTTCAAATGAGTGAAGCTTTCATGTCGTCTTGTTCATGGATGGCTATTCATAGCTCTGAGATAAATGGTGTAACATGGGTCATATTTGCTATTTTGTGTTTGTTAGAAGTAGTCTGTCTTAAAAAAACTTCTATTGTTCTTTTAAAAATATAATTTAAATAAGGGCCAGGGCCTTTATCCAAGAAAATATCTCATCTATTTGAAGCTTCAGAGTAGCCATAACAAATTTAAAAGGGATGTGAAGCCTAGTCCTTTTGCACTTAAGTCTCTAATCTCTGGGTAAATAGTATACAGGACAACGAAACCTGCTCCTGTCTGTATTATACTCTCCTCTGAAACAGCTGGCTGCTTTTAGGGACTAGACAATAGATGAAATGCAAACCTTGCACTTACTACAGTACTGATGATAGAGAATATAACTGGCTGCTTGTCAATGGGTATCGTGCTTCAAGGTGAGAGAGACCCGCTGTCACTATAAAAATTAATAAAGAACATGAAAATGCTGAATGATTGTGGTGTATATAACTCTTAGTTAACGACCAGCAATTTTTGGACTCTGCTTAAGGACAAGGCTTTCATTTTTCTATAAATGAAAAAAGAATGTTTCATCATATTGTGGAAGTATTCAGTTAGTGACAGCTTTATGTAACATCTCTAGTTGTTCAGCATGGTTTAGTTCTAGGTTTAACAATTAGATACATGAAAACTTAGTATCACCATTCCAGCTTCCCTTACTTGGTCACTGTGTAGCAAACCATAGTTCTATGAAGTGTGTCCTTAACAGTATGGAGGGTAGGTGTTTTCTTCAGAGCACTGGAGTGTTTGGCTGATGGACAAATTAATGATTTACTCATCTGGGGATGTAATTGTCCTAAGCAGCCATTTATGAAGCCTTCATCTTGGATTGCTGAATTATGTCTAAGTATTAGTAGTCTGTCTTTGATACTGCACAACCACAACAATTTATGCCATTAAGCTGTCCTAATGATTGCAAATAATGTTGTTGAAGATGAACTTGCTGCTATCTTCTTTATTTTCTAAAACTTCTTTCAGAGTCGATGAAGATGAGGAAATTATTGTGAAGGCAATGAGTGATTACTGGGTAGTTGGGAAAAAGTCTGACCAGCGAGAACTGTATGTTATTTTGAATCAAAAAAATGCAAATCTGATTGAAGTTAATGGTAAGGATTGGTTTTTTATTACCTTTAAATGCAGTTACTACTAAAATGTATGTCCCTGGACAAGTAATAATAAAATCCATCTCACAAGAAATCTAGAGAGATTGATCTGTCATAGACCAGGTAAGTTTGCATAAGGTTTTAGTCTGCCTTCTACCAGCTGTGACAGAACAGTATAAATATTCAGCAGGCATTCTTAATTATTAATTAGTCATTCTTCCTCCTTCAAATAATAGGAGAGCTCTGTGAGCTTAGTTTAGGAGTAAATAATGAAGTGCATTACAGGTGAGAGATTAACATATTTACGTCTGAGGTTTTATTTGTCAGTGATCCATGGGTACACTACTTATATGTAATCGCTGTCCTGTCAGTGATCCTCACTCCATTGTTGTCTTGCTTCTAATGCTGTTTTGAGAATTATTTACTATGACTAAGAGGGCAAATTAACATTAAGATGCAATAAGCTTTTAAACAGACTTTAAGAGAAATGGCAGTTGGAGTCATTTGCAGCAACTTTAGGGCTCTCTGTTTTAATAGGAGGCAATGTGCTCACTTGGAAAAGTATTAATTCTTTTCCATCATCCAAGACCAAAGCCTAGCAACCTAAATTTAAAAAAGAGCCATGAGTTGTGAGACTCGCACAATGATTTCTAATTGTCTTTCAGGATCAAACCTGCTACACAGAAACAGTAAATGAGTTCTTTTGTGCCCAATAAACTCAGGCAGTGTTGTCTGCCAAGTAGCATAAAACAAAAATTTTGCTGACCTGACTTTTATTTATTGTAACAGACTACGCTAATCCCTGCTTCCCCTAAAAAGAGGTTACAATATGCTTCCTTGTGTTGAAGCAAAGTCTCTGCTGCTGCAATGTACAAGTTAGACCAGATGAATGGCCCAGCAGCAAACTCAAACCATCATTTACCCTTTAGCCACTTAGAATACAACTCCTCTTTCAGACAGTGTGAAACGTCAGACTTGATTCAACTTTCTCCTACTGAAGAAAGAATAACATTAAGTGTAGTTCTACATTAGAAACTCCTAGGCTTTTTTTTTCTCTTTGAATTTAATTGTATTCTCCTTGATGATCCCTAGGGTTTTTCTTGCGGAGGTTCCTGTAAAATACCATACTGAAATATCTTATTTTTATTTTTTTACAGAAGAAGTCAAGAAACTTTGTGCAACACAGTTTAATAATATTTTCTTCTTGGATTGATCTACAAAGGGCTGATTTATTGAAGATGTCAATGTGAGACACTTGTTCAACTTGAAAAGTTATTAGTCATATTATTGACTGGAATAATGACAATAGTAAAGCAATACTTGCTTTGTAAGAATCAAATTTCTACTAAAATCTGTAAACTCTGATCATAAAATTTTTAGATTTTAAAAATGTTTACGTGCAAATTAATTAAAAACCAGTCTGAATTCATCTGTATCATTCCATCCTGATATCATTATGTGAATATTTTACTGGAAAATAAAACTAATAATTGTTACACTTTTAAGGGCACCTTTTTGTTTTCCTGTGTTCATTTGCATCATGTGACTTTCTACTAATTTTCCACAATGTGAAACTACACTGGTTACAAAAGACCCCCCCCGGTTGACCTGTTCTTTGCAGCTCCTGCTTCAGCCTGATTTATATTCTTTGTCAAATTCTGACTTGTTTATATGCAGTATTGTCAAATAAACCATGTTTTAAGCATTGGGATATACAATCATGAGAGGATACCAGTTCTTGTATCCACTTAACACTGAGGGAATTTTTAGGTACAAGTCAAATACTGACTTCTGGAATAGTTTTGTTTAAAGGGTTTCACTCATGTAAATGAATTGTTCTTTCCCAACACCCTTGGTATAAAAGCAGAGAGTTTCCCTCTGAAACCAGCAAGTCTTGTGCATACAGTTTTATCATACTTGTATTTTAGACCTTACTGCAAGTGTGGTTCTTCTGTTGTTTTTTGCAGTGGTGGTTTGTTGTTTTTTTTTTTTTCTTTCCCCTTATTCAAAGAGTACTTACTTTAAGCTTCAGTAGTTCTCATCAGATTTATTTCTGCTTTTTCTTTTTGCCAGCAGGCACCTTGGTAACAGGTGGGGGTGCTACCGTGGGTGCCTCTTCCTTCAGAGGACAGGTTCCTCTAACTCCTCACAATCTGCAGTATTGGAATCAGATGTCTTTTCTGCTGCAGCTGCTTCTTGCCTTCTTGCCTCTTCTGCTTCTCTTCCAGCAATAAGTCTGAGTGAACAAACTTGAAATTTAATGTACTGCAAGAAGGCTGAGACAGATTTATACTGGCTAAGCAACTACAGCTATATTCACAGTATTAGCAGCATAAACTGTCACATTGTAGAGAAGCAGAAAATCTCTCTAGTTATCACTTCATGTCTGACATAGTCTGTAACCTGAAAGCAGCCTGTATTTGTTACTTCTGACAGTAATAGAAGTCACAAGAGTTACATTCTGTATGTTGCTTATTATACCTGGATGAGTTTGTTTTCCCAGTTACAGTATGGTATACTACTTTATTGAAGCACTCTTCTCATTTTCAATACTTTTGTTAGTATAAGAGGTAACAGTACTTCATGATAAGAATACAACACTCACCTATCCAGCTCCTCATCCTTGCGCTTTCTCAGCTCAGCTAATTCAGCATCCCGTATTTGATTTTCTTTTATTTTTTTCCTCAGTGCTTTTTCATGCTGGTAGGCAGGAAAGAACTTGGTTGTAAAAAAGATTTCAATCTGACACATCCACAGACTAAATTCCTCATCTTGTTCAGTTTTGGCTTCTTTTAGTTCACCTGCAACATGTGAATTAAATATGTTTATTTAGCAGAGCACTTCTATTTCAAATGTGTTTTGGACTACAATATTTCAGATTTGATACTCCACAATGGGAAAGTCTGGGTTCTGCATGGTACGGATGATGACAGCTGTGAGAAACCTTTAAATGATGCATTTGAAAGGGGATGGCCCTTTTGTGGGTCTTCAGAGTGACTTGTCACTGGGAATGGCATCAAAAGAATATGAACTTTCCCCTTTAATCCTATGATAAATGTCTTCTGCAGTAATCTGATGACAGTTCAGTATCCATGACTCCTATGCGTGGGGGAATGGAGGAACAGACATGACTACCTGAAAGACCAGAATTGCATGCAAGCATCCAGTTGTCATGGCCATCAAAAAATAGGCTAGGGCCCATCTGCTGGTTTGTAAAGGATGTTTTTTTCAGATCTGTAACTTTTCAGCCATCAGATTTCAGTGAAAGGGCTGATGACTACACAAAGATCCTTGCCTACCTCTGTTCTTGGATTTGGGTTCTTTTATCTGTAGAAAACATTTAACAAGCACAAAAAACAACCTAGATGAGATCTGCTAATCAGCCAGAAGGCAGATGGTATAAAAAGTTTACCAGCTTCAACATACGAAAATGTTCTTACTGATTTCTCTTCTGTATGAATGCTGGCCTGTCATAACATAAGACATCCTACCCCAGCTAATGGTGGCACACCATTAATAATAATTCTTACATTAAGTAAAAGAAGCAAGATATAGCAGTAATATCAGTTTGTCCAAGACATTAAAAAAAATGGGCAGGCTTGCAGATTGAGCTTCTCATAGAGTAAATACATGTTACAGCTTGTAGATACCCTACAAATAAAATGTGGCATTTTAAAACTGGGGAAACTATTTAAGCCAATGCTTCAACGTCTCATTTGTTTCATTTTCTTTAAAAAAATCTCTTTAAAAATTTTTCTTTAAAAAATCTTCCTCCAGAATTGATGTTCATTTACTGCCCTCTTGTGACAAGCTGAAATCTGCATGTACAATTAAAATTCTGCAATTCAAGAGGGATTTTTTTGTGTTAAGTCTTAGAACAGTAGGACTGCTTTTCCTGCCAATTCCTTTGCTGGACAGAAACCTTGTTCTTTTTCTTCATCCCAGCTGAACAATGATACATCATCTTTGATATCTCCATGAGTTGTGTGAAATGAGAGGACAGTATCTGATATTGCAAAGAAAGAAAATTAAAATCACCGAGTCTGTAATTCTATGCATTAAATACTGGGTTTGCTCTTCAGCACAAATGAATATAAATTGTTAATCTGACCTTACAGCTAGACCTGTGATTGAAATATTTCTGTACTGATTAAAAGTTTGTTTATAATGGAGGCACAGTGCAGAGTTCAATCTCCTGTTTCCATGCCCAAATGAGTGGGACAGACCAGGAAGAATTTAGTTTTAAAAAGCTTTTACGCTATTTTTAAGGAAAATGTGAAAGCTTCTAATTAAAAAGCACATAAAGTTCAGAGATTCAAACTTGCCGAGCTACCTGTGTATCGCAGGTGTGGAAAGCCAAACATAAACCTTGCCATAATCGCCAAACTGAATGCTGCTACCCTCTGTAATTGCAATACATCCAGCTGTTTCAATGATCAGCTACTGTTTCCATCATCTTTAAGGTTGTAGAAAGAGCAAATCTCCACTAGCACCACTGTTTATAGATGCTTATGGTAACTATAGTACTCACCCAGTAGAAATTCTTGAGGAGGATGCCCTCCGTCTTCACAAGGTCTCAGTGGCTGGCAAGAAGTTTTAAATTTGGTTACCAAATCCCTGGACTTGTGTTCAAATTAAAAAGCAAAAATCACATGTCCATTTCAGTCATGCAAATTGCTATCTCCAAAGCATTCTGGCAACCAAACACATTCTGCAATTATGCCTATTTCAAAACATTTAAATTGCATGAGTGTTTCACGCTTTCAAGTATTAGCAACTTGGTCATAACACTTTACCTTTGATACCAGCCAGGGAAGTAGGATTATCCTATTTCAGAGCTAGAGAAAGACAGAAGTACAGAGAATGAAAGCTCCTGTTCTTAGACACGTCCCTCTGTTCTTAGATCTTGCTCCACATACTATTATTCATCTGCTCCTGAGGAAACAATAATGAATTTCTACTCCTGACTATAGGAATACACTCCAGGAATTATACTGAGCGAAAAGGACAGAACAACATTCTAGAGTGTATTTGAGAAGGATGCTTTGAAATCTTTCCGTCATCCCAAGCATCTTCTGCAGCCTGATGATGCCACTCTTTTCAGATGAGTGACAGTAAAAGTCTCACGAAAACTCAGGTCAAACACAATTCTGTTTTCTAAGTGTTGGTATATTTTCTAAAAGGCAGGAAGTTTCCAAATTCTCTGTCTGATTTCCACAATTCCAGTACAAAACAGTAATCCTTACTATCTTACCCTGAAATCACAGAGATCAAACAGAACATATTTGTTCTTGGAATATCAAGAATCTCGTTGTAGTCATACGCTGGGTATAAAATTGTAAAGGCAGTGAAGGTGAAAAGTTTGCTGGAAGAATTCTGAGAAGTGTTCTAGGAATTATATTACAGTTACCTTCCCCAGTGCTTCTAAGCCTCTCTGCCCACTTCTTAACCTTTCATTCCCCACCTTGTGAATAAAGATAAAACTGTAGCTTTGCTCACCACTGTTTTAGTTAATGTAGAAGATACTACCCAATATCCTAAATAACAATAGCTGAGTGTATGTGTGGGAGCAAATGCTTTTAATTAGCAATGGGAATGCACCACTTCTAGGCTCATACATGCACCCAGGCATGGGAATAGATTGTATTTAATATTAGATTAAATTCTAGTCCCTTTCACAACTTAAAACTACCTTGGCTACTCTGTCACCCATGAATTGCAAACCCTCTGCTCCATCTTTCAGTGTGGGCTTTTTATATGCCTCATGTTTCTCTATTTCGTCTTGCAACATGACAGTTTTGCTTGAAGACAACCATGAACAAGCGTAAAGCTCAGCTGCCTTGGAAATGTCATCGTTTATGTCTGTACCAATTATATTTCTGCTGTACGTGCACTAACAAAAAGCAAACACAGAAGAATTTTACGTTCAGTACATTCTAAATTAAGATTTCTTTTGGTCTTGGAAAATCTGACTGTTTTAACTGGACCATTTCGCTGTGCAACTGCTTGCAGTGATGCAAGGGAATGGGTTCCATAGGACAGGAACAATTGGCCAGAAAATGGGAAGTGGTGGTGTTCAGTGGCACTACTGGCTTACAGAGACTGGGAAATCAGGTGTTTCTGAATGCTCTTTGAATTAATAAAAACACTTTCATCTTGTACATCATTCTGAACAATAACAATTCTAATTCATGCCTTCAGCTACCCTATGTATCTAAATTGCACCAGTGTCACAGGCAGCACCTTACAACCTACAAAATCCTTATTCAAAAGTTTAGCAAAAAGAAAAAGAGCATAGCTTAACAGCTGGGAAACAGCAAGTCTTGCTACATACAACAACTGCAATGCCATTTTTACAGTGCAATTTTAGACATTCAACTTAAAGCAGGAGAGGCGTATCTTCCACAAGTCAACCAATCCGTCAATTGCCCTTTGAACACCAGAAGACTTGTAAGTACTTTATGTGTATTTATAGTTATCTAGGAAAATGTGCAAATGCGTTAAAACTGTGTATACTGATGTTACAATCTAAGATAGCAACAAAGAGAAAAAGCAGAAGGACCCAATCAAATGATGTTTTATCCAAAAAGAGGACATTGGTTTCTAGGTTCAGGAAAGAGAACATTTGCAGGGCCCGACTTCACTCTCTAAGTGGACATATAATAATAATTAACAGGTCTACATCAACTTTACCTGGGACAGAGAATATTCTGGGTGCAGAGACACATTTGTGGTTCCCTCGAAGAGACTCTCGATTCTAAAGCTACTTCTTTTCTGATTATCACAAGCTACTTGCTCCTTAATCATATCACTGGTAACATACACCAACGCGCACTCAAGAAGAGCTTCAACAAATTCAAGAAAAACCAACTAGAGTAAAACAAACACAGTGATAAATTCATTCATTTTTGCAAAATCCTTTCATTAACAGGCATATGTACTTGAGCAAGCAAAGAACTCAAAAGTGATTGGTTGTGAAGCCTCACTGGCCTCATTTATCTAGCCAAACATCCCTTTTTCTGAAGAAAAACTGAAAACAGCCAAAGCTCAAAAAATGTAGGAGGTGATATACTGCTTTATGCCTTATACAAGTCATATTGAAATAAAATACTGCATAGATTTTTGCTGTATCTGAAGCTATGAGAAATTTCTCTAACAAATAACACACAACTATTGCTATTACCTAAAGCATTTAATTGCATACAGTGCTTCCAGAAACCCCAAGAATGGGTGTATAATGAATCCCTTAGCAAGACTTACACTGTGTGTTCAGTTTATCAGATACTGTTTAAAACAATAAATTCAATTATGTCATTTACAGTACACCATCACTGAGTAAGACCTAATTCTTTAACGGAGAAGGCTTTCTATAGCAGGCCAGCTGTCAGGTAGCACAAGCATCTTCTACAGTCACTACTCGACCTTACTGAGGTGGCAGCACTTCACACGTCACTAAGCAGGTTTCTTGGATCACCAGAGTTTCAGCATCAGTGGGTTCACATCTTAATTACTAACCCATCTTAACATTTCCAGTGCATGCCTCGGCAGCTGGAAGTGCTGAGATTCATCCCTGTGTATTCACTGTATACACATATTGTCAGGCAATTGCCCCACAGGCAGAACTACTACTAGCAGCAGTCTCCTAGAAATGGTATTTCACCCTCTGGGTTACGGCACTCCTTTTAAGGAGTTATCCATATGGTCAGGTAAGCTGTGACTGTACTGAGAAGGGTAAGATAATAAGAAAAACATAGAAGTACATGAGCTAAACTGGAAGATATAGGCAGAACAAAGGAAGACAAAAATAGAGGCTCAAGTTTGTACTCTTTTCTTTTTTTTTTTTTGGAATACATTATTCCATCTTCCTCCTGTTCTAGCAGACAGGACAGTATTTGCAGCATTTTTTAAAAGTAATGTTAATTGTTCCTGTAGCAATGAACTATGATTTTTTTTTCTCCATACACACCTCTGGCTCCAGGTTGATAATACTGCTATCACATAGAGAGGGACCACCTTTGTCAAGTATTTCCACAAGTCTTGAAGTAGTTAATTGTTTGCTGAGAAGTTTAAAATCCTGAGTAAGAGTAAATGTTACATGTTAACAGCACTTAAGGCATTCCCATATGGGCCTAATCTAACTCTCTTTAAAGCCTGTATCAAAATTTCTAGTGGTTTCAAACAATACTTCCAACATACGTAATTACTGACAGAGTGAAACTCTGGCCCTACTGAAGTCAATGGGAATTTTTCCTAGACCGCAAAACCAGTGTTAACATAGAACTTGTGAAAGCTCACAAATAAAAATATTAAAAAATTACAATTTTGCCATCTGATTTTTTTTTTTTTTTTTTTTTTCATTTTAAAAAGGCTTGGATTTAAACAGTGGCAGTGACCCAAAATCCAAGCATATCAATGGGAATAGTTCCCTAGCTTCAGTGTAATCTTGATCTGTCCCTGAATTACTGAATTCTAGTAAAGAATCTCATGTTCATCTTGCAGGATATTAAATAAATATGTTAATAAATAAAATGGTTTATTGTGTTATTTTAAAAGCTGTCAGTCTTTGAGTTCTACCAGTAAGACATTTTCATATATATACTGGGGGGGGGGCAGCAAAAATATTTATATTCCCTTAAAACATATTTGTCTAAGATTTGATTATTTGCAATGATCAAGTATGAAATCAGAATTCAATCCTGCAAAAGTACATAAATAATTTCTGTAGAACAACTGTCCATTTAATGTTTATTGGACAGTTTGTATAAATAACATTGCTGCTACCTTTTCAACTGTGCAGAAGCCACAGGGAGTATTTTAAAATATTCATATAAAGTGAACAAATAAAGCGCATCTAATCACATCAAATAAAAAAAAATTTAGATTATTACATTCAACATCCAAAGGAAGTGCCTCTTTTTCATTGTGGGTTCAAATGGAGGTCTGGTACTTGGTCTACAAAAAGCTCTGTATATTTCCCAGCATTTGTCCATGTAGCTCATGGCAAAAACTGTACATTGTTCTTCAGAAAATAAGATACCTTTAAAAATTAATTGGAAAAGATAACTGTTACAATAAAACTGTGATGTATGTGGTACTGACTGATGAATTCGGCACAGCACAGAAGTACCACCATTACTTACCTTGGATACGACAGGCAGCGGGAATCACATTCCTGGACATCATTTCTAAGAAACACTTAGGCAGATAAGGACCCTTCCCTCTACAGCTGAAACAAAAATACTCTTATCTGGGAAGACTCAAACTGATTACGCTGAAAGAAATTTCACGAAAAGAAGAAACTTACTTGTGCTCTTCATGATAGATACGAAATGCTAGATGAATAAGGTAAGATAAAAATGTTCTGAACAGTAAAGTCTCATGTGGACTATGTATCTCCTCAAGTGGTGTTTTATCACCTAAAAAATTGAAGAAATAAATCTCTATTGCCATCATGTACATTAAAATGCTTATAAGCATATTGTCAGCCTTTCTTATCCTCTCCATCTCTACCTATCACAGTGTAACAACACTCCTGGGAGAATCAAACTAGACACAGCATCACTTCCAAACAAGCAGATCAAGGAAGAACTGTCCACCTATAGCTGAATCCTGTAAAATTCTCTCTTTCTAGAAATGCATCCACTCAGCATATAGAAGTGAAAGGGGAAGGGAAGTTGGAGTTACACCCTTCACATACTAGGGACACTGGAATGCATCCCACTGCAGGTCTAAATGGAACTGATTAACTGGCTCTATGGAAGAAAAAAATAAAACAACGTACTACATGCAAACCAAAGTTAAGAGCGCTGGAAAAATAAAAGGATTTGTTTCTTCTACTTCTCTTTCTCAGACTTCTTAAAACTACATGTAATAGTAATAGCAAGACCAAGGGTGAATACCATTTTTGAACAGATTGCTCTTTAAAACAATTTTTGAGTGATATTTTAATTTTGCATTTTCTCATCTAAGCACCTGAAGTGCCTGGAGAAGTGGTAATGCATCCACTGAGAAATCAGAGGCACAGAGGTACTAACTCAGGGCCACTTAACTGCCAGAGCTGAGCTACCAGTAGAACTTGCCACTCCAACTCTCCACGGCTTACTGTTAAAATTCCTAGATTCTAGACCCCAATCAACAGAGGCACAAACCGCTCAATATCCGGTCCATTTCAGCAAGAGTTATGTTGGAGTGATGAAACTGGCAGTCCTTCAGAAATCTCCAAAATTGGAGCTTAGTCACGAAGAAGGTGTTGTCAAGAGAATGATCACAGCCTAAGCCGCTGTAGAAGGTGTAAACTCTTCTCAGTTCTGTAATGTGTCTCAACACGGCAAATTCTACCTAAATAAAGCAGGATATGTTTTCAGCATCGTCTCACAGCAAGTAGGGATCAGCTTGTATTGATCCTGTAACTGGGCATATAATGCTTTTGATCTTGTCACTTCGAAGAGCATATCCTTGGTTAAGTGTTCATGAGACTCTTACTCTAAAGTAGTTATAAGCAGCATATTTTGGGGACTGATAAAAATAAATTAGTCTCTGTCAGCAGACAAACCTCATAGTATCTAAAGGTAGATGTTGAATGCCCTTCCAGATACGTTAACATATTTTTTATTGTCTTCTAGTGGAAGCTCAGGAAGAGGCAATATTGTCTATTCATTCTTTTTGCTTTTCTGTTTTCATGGCCTTCAGATTTTCAAATAATTCTTTAATGGAAAGAGTTAGTTTAATACAAATAAACCAGAAACAAAATAATATGAAACACCCTGTGGGGGAAAACTGAAAGTATCAAACAGTAGACTCTTACTTGTTTCAGTTCTTCATGTCTCTCTTCCCTTGGCAACAAATCAAGCAGTGAAGATACATCCAACTCAATATCTGATCCCAGAATAGAAGTACTTCCTGAGCCATTAATGACTGTGATATTTTCTACCGTGCAAATAAAATAAATTAGAAGAAACTAAAATGAAGTTAAAAAAAAAATACACATGCACGTATGGAAAATAAAACATCTATTATTTCTTCTTATCTTACTGACTTCAAACTGAGAATAATAGACTCCTTTTATAGGAAGGACCAGAGATTTCATAATCAACAGCATAACAACTGAAGAGTAATTTCGTCAAATCCAAACCCTAGCCAAAAGGAAATGCAGATATTACATAAGTTATGAAACTTTCAGACAACAGTATTCCAAAAGCATTACAAGATGTAGTGGGGATGTGTCACTCAACTCAAAGTGTCATGCACAGGAAACAAGAAGCATGGGAGTAAAAGTCATTAATTATTAAGATAACTCCCACCTATATCAAAGTGCTTTGAAGAAATATATCTGGCTCTTTACTAAGTATGAACAGCTTCACACTATAGTAAAAAGGAAAAACAAAACGTGAACTGAGTAGAATTAGTTTTCTTAAGCTGCTTACCAGTGCCAAAATGACTTCCTGTGCAAATGGCATTCATCTCCTTTGCATTCATTGCATCCACTCGAAAAGCAGGACATTCTACTATACTATCATCTATGAACTCTCCTTCATAAACATGACCATTCTTGAAGACAAACTTGCCCTACAGACAGATTAATTTGATTAATTTCAATATAAATATAAATCAAAGATCAGAAAAAATAACACTAATACTCTCAATCAAATTTCCTTTTAAGATTCTTGGCTAAAACCCAATATATGAGATAAAATAAAGCAAAACAATTTTTCCTACCCTCTTTTATAAGTACTTTGCCATCTGTTAATTAAAGTACACTGCCGGGATGAAGAACTGCCTATGTATGTTTGATTTTGAAAAGTATTTTGAGGAAAAAACATTTCCCTCTCCATATAGAAAGACCTGTTTGCAATCCTTAGTTTGCACATGTGGCACTTTGCTCACAGTTTTTTTAAAACAGTCTTTTAATGTGAGAACATCTCTGTGCAAGGACAGCTTGAAATCCATTAGCTCACAGCTTAAGAGTGAAATACTGACCAACCACTGCAAAAATCAAGATGCACCTATTGCACTGAAAATCTCCACAGTAAAGCGTGTTTCTTTATACACACAACACACATCTAACTCCAGAGTCCAGCATCTAACTGTGGCCCAGCAAGGTCCTTGGAAGGACACCTACTGCTTTCAGTGGACTCTGCCCTTTATGTTGGGATTCCATCCACAATGTAAATGGAATGTAGTTTTCTGTACAGAAATCTAGAGATCCACTATACAGAGCAGAATAGTCTCCTCTGGTGTTGTCTGTAGTTTTCTCTTACTACTTGCCAATACTCACCTTGCCATGCTTCTTGTTACAAACCCATTCACCATCGTACACTGCTCCACTGCCATATATGAACTTCCCGTGTCCATGCTGTTCCCCATTTACAAAATCACCTATGTATTCACTCCTTAAAGGGTACCGGGACACAGGCATTCTCCTCAAAAACCATATGTGGTGGCCATATCCATGCTGAAAAAAATTTGTGTGTATAAATAAATAAAAAAAAATCTCCAGAAGAGCTACCACTGCTACAGGTCCAGACTTTTAAAAAGAACCACCACCTAGGCATCTTTAAGAGTCACTGTTGGCAAACCTCTCAAATAAAAGCACCTAGTTGATAGCAGCAGGACTTCAAAACATCCACAGAACTATATTCTACAGAGGTGCAGGAGAGACGCGCTCAGAGGATACACCAAATCAACACAATCTTGAGCAAGCTCTACCACCAGGACTCCTAAAAGACACCCTTCCTGCCTGTAATGCTGAATGGCCAGGTGAGGAATACCATGCCAGAGAGCCATGATGTTCCAGAAGCTGGACTCTTCGACAATTTTATGCAAAGTGAAAAGACAGAGGAAGTAGGTCACATTCTTTTTCCAACAGAATAATAAATGGAAGGAAAAAAAAATGCCAGAAACCTGCTCCTTCCGTCATAAGACTTTTACAAGAGGGAACAGCGTGGTCTAATATTTTACAGATGACACAGAAGTAAATTGCCACACATACTCGCTGCTGAAGTCACATCTCAAGCTAAGTATAGTCACAAATATTTAACTTTTAAAACTTTATATCTTCCATTAGAGAATTAAATTATTATTTTGTAAGACTAATGCAAAAGCCTTTTAACAATTTGAATATGGCTAACACGATAATCAACTTAGAATAAACAGCACACTTCCGTTATCTCAACTGGCAAAAATCATACTAAGCTCCTTCGATATTGCACTAAACTCCCTATCTAGTTTTACTACAGTAATGGACAGGTTCTGAACTAAAGACGTTGCTGGGGAAGAAATTAATACCTGTATGCCATGCACCCACTGTCCCATATACTCTTGATTAGCCGTCAACCATCTCATTCTTCCTTTTCCATGACGTACATTTTTTTCCCACTGACCTTCATAGATATTTCCAGACTTATAGCTGCAAGAAAACAATAAAAATTAATGACTCATTCATACTAAATACTAAGAGGATCTGATGAAAGCAAGGCTTATGCAAAACCTCATTACTAATAAATTTAGCATCTATTAATGCTAAATATAAGCATTAATTTGAAAGTTGGCTCACTGTGACATGGATACAGAGGTTTGATTGCACCCACTGTTTACCTCCTATTTTTAACCTGCAAATCACTAAAATTATTAACCTGTTCTTCTTTTCCAAAGAGTCTTCGCCACAGCTAATCAAAATACTCTTTTATATATAATTCCACAAATAATTCATTTATTGATGAAAGCAGCTCCCTCTCTTCAAATCAATTGAGTTTAATTATTTTTAAATTTGTGGTTTACCAAAGCTGATTTTGGATTTTGTCTTTAGACATTCTTTTGTAGGAACGATCAGTAGAAATATACCAACAAAAGTGTAAGTTCTAGAGAAGGTCTATTTTATTATTAGAAAGCACTTTGTACAATTATTTATTGCACTACAGAAAGTACATACTACCATGAAATGGTAGCATTTGTATCCATTTTAAACAACAGGAGAAACTGTATAATACATGTAAAATAAAACTTATGAAGATAAGAACAAGTGTTATCACGTTTACCATCTTATTCCCCATCCTTCTTTGATATTATTTACCCAGTCGCCTGAATACCAAGAGGTATGTTCCTGATCATAATAAATGACACCCTGAAACAAACAGTATAGTCAATTTAAATATCTAAATATACATCTACATTAACAAAACATCACATACAAATAATGACACATGTAATCACGCTCTTACTTACAGTCACTTTGAGACACTGTACTGAAAGCAACTGAAGTGATAAAATTAAATTAAAAAAACACCTCTTTTGAAGAATATTAGTTAAGACCTTAAAAAAGACCAAGTGTTAAAAAAAAATTGTATTACATTACATCAAAGTCTACCATGCTTTTCAAACCACTTGGAAATACTTTCAGAGCTAACTTTGGCAACTTAATCACAGTAGTTACTCTGAGGTAGATCAGTTTTATGACTCATTTAGAATTCAACTTCCAACAGCAGGTGTACAGCATTAATTGTTTTGCCTTTCTCTATGTGATGGCTTCCTCTCAGAACAAACTGGACAGACCATTGCACTGGTGACCATCCACAGTAGCCTGTGCGATTTTAGTGTCTCATTAGTGACACAGAAAAAAAGCCCATGTGATTAGAATGGATTTTCCTCACATGCTGAGCATCGGCCTTCAAAGTGTCAGGCCCAAAGAGAGTCTCACTGTGGATGTATAAAATAAAGACAAATAAAAGCACTACTTGCCTTTAAAAAGCTGGAACTAGATGTCACTACACTAGACAAGGTAGTCTTAATTGTAACTATCATACTTGATCTGCTTAACACATTTGGCAGGTTGGACCACTCTGTCATTACTGAGAAGCTAATTGTTCTGTCATTGTTATGCGGCTACCAATGCAGCCGACAGTTTTGACTTTGTCATCATCTACTTGGAGCAGCATAAAGGATAATCTACGTAACAGACCAATTACTCTTTTAGGATACCATTCATCCCTTCTACTACAAACAAGATCCCACTCTAGTTGTTTTAATTACCGTTCACGACTTCAGAGAAGGTCCTTAGGAAAAACAAGTCTCTACATAGCATAAGACCATGCAACAGCACAAAACATTTTTGCAAAACCTTTGCACAAGAATGTTTGCTGTTCTAGAATGCAGTCACCCAAGACCATGCTCTCATTTGGTGTTCTTTCTTACCTTTCCATGTTTTTTGCCTTTATACCAATAGCCAATGTAAGAAACGGGATGAGTACCACTCCTGAAAAATCCAAATCCATGCCTAACTCCATTCTTGATCGATCCTTCATAAATGCTGCCATCATTCCATGTATAACGGCCATTAAACATCTGCACATTCTTAACAAATGTTCCCTGAAAGATTAAGTTGCAACATTTAAAAAACTAAGACTCACTGCTCCCCACCTATCTGGGAGAAGTCAGGCTTGTGATTGAAACCACTGCCATAGTTCAACAGTGCCACCCGTACTGTACCTGTTACTGCAACTTACCTACTTTCCTTGAATTTGCACATCTAATTGGCTGTAATTGTGTTCAGTTTTAAGTTAAATGGCACTTTACCTCGTACTTCACTCCATCAGCCCATGTGTAAGTCCCTTGTCCATGCATAAGCCCTTCAGAAAACATGCCCTTCAAAATGAAGAGAATGGCATCATTTTCAAATTTATTCTTACCACAAAGGAAGCCTACAGTGACTGTAAGATTTCAAAAGAAAGACGTATTAATTCTGCTCCAACTACGGGTTTCACATGCGGAGTTTTAATGCCAGAAACCAACAGAGCTTTCAATGCTTTCATTGCTTTTCAGTGCTTTCAATGTTCTAGAGAAAGAACTTGATCCACTACTACTTTTTTTTTATTTTATACACTCACCTTATATGTATTTCCCCCCTCAAAATATGCAAATCCTTCACCCTCATACAATCCATGGACTTTTTCACCTTCATAGCTACAAGGAAAACAAACTAAAGATGAAGATTTCAAGCCGTTGTTCGTAGATCTAAATCATAGCAGACGTATAATAAATGACCTTTGATTGACCATGGTCTACACACAGGCCAGTTGTTGTATCTTGTGTAGAAAAGTGAGCTACAATAAAATTCCCTCATTTTTGCACCTTCCTTGTAATATTTCACATAATTGTTGTGTTGCCCCAGACCCATATTTTTTTCAATTAAGAAAAAAACCCCACATTGGCAGCATTTACTAGCTTACAACCAGGCAACCTGGTCAGTATGTGAAATGTTACATATAGTTCCCTTGAACTACCAGAGGATTAGGTTAACACTGCCATTCACCTGCTTCCTCAATTTAGGATATTCGTAAGGGATATGAGCAATCCTAAACATTAAAAGGCAACAACAACTCAACGTTAGATGACATAGCTACATTTTCTTCGCTGTATACTTAAGACAAAACTTTACCGTAGATGAACAAGCTAAAAGAATGAGGCTTCTCGCAGGCAGAGAACACCAGCAACACTCTAGTATGCAAGAAGGCAGCAGAATTCCACATGTATCATGTGTAAGGTGTCACATCTACTAGGTTTGAATAACCCGATTCACTGCCTCAAATCAAGAGTCAAATCTGTGTCTGTATGACACTGGGTACACCAGAGATACTTAAATGAGAATTCTTGACTTAACCGATGCATTTGTAACAAGCATACCTTTTTACAATAACTTCAGTAAGATTAGGCTCCTCATAGTATTGAGGAACATCTTGGACTGGAGGTTCCTCTAACTCCTTTGGTTCTTTATCCAATATCACTGGATTTGCCTGTGTTTCTTCCACTCTATTCACTAAGGTCTGCAAGTCTGTCAGCTTTGTTGAACTACTCTCAGCTGTAGCGTCTTGTGCAGGAATAGGAGGATGTATAGATTTTTCTGTCTTCTTATCATCTTTCTTCTTATCCTTTGCCATAACTACTGAATTGTCTCAACATGTATTTTCCTTCTGAACATCTACTGTCTCATGTCAAGATTTTTTTCCCCTCTGTATTTGATTAAAAAAGGAAAAACACAAACCAACAAACAGCTAACTACATGAAAAAATACCAGTCTTCCTTAATTATTATACATACATGTATTTTAAGTTATTTCTGTAATAACAATTCCTCAAGGCAGTGGTTTCAGCTTGCGGTAGGCAGACCACAGGGCTAACAGGAAGCAATGCCTGTGAATTACCTCAAAGTCATCCATCACGATGCCAGAAGCGTTGTCAGTAAACTTACTTTTGCTACACAAAGGTCTCCATCTTTACGAGGAGATTTTTAGGTGCCTAGATTTAATCACATGGCAAAGTTGAAAACCATTTCTCAAAGACATGAGTTTGGTGAGTTTCTTGAAAGTTACAGATGCACTGGTACTATTAACTTGTTTTCAAAGCTATGAGTTGCAGATCGAATCACAACATAGAATAACCACTACAGCTTCTAAAGTTATTTTGCCTGTTAAGAGCTACTTAAAAGTTACAAGACTGCCTGAACAGCTGTAATCACAGTTCCCACTCATTTCACAGACTGATCATCACTGCTTTGTAATAGAAGCAGAATCAAACCCCCGTGCTGCAGTGGCGAGGGCTGACAGGGACAGCCTCA